CCCCCCCACCCCACCCCACCCCCTTATTATTATTATTAATTTTTTATTTTTATCTATTTGTGCAAGTCGCCCATATTAGTAAAGATGATAATCAGTTTAGGTAGCAACAAGTCATTTGATCATTGTCCAATGCATCACAACTTTATTAAACAATGAATTAGGGTTTCAATGCCAACTAAATTAGTGATATTTCTTCTAATGCTGAATATTATTATTCAGATCATATAGAACACTACTTGCCCATAGGACTATCAAGCATGTTCGAGCATGACAATTTAGGTTCAAACTTGTAAGCGAAATGTTCTAAACCTCTTTATACTAATTTGATCGAGTCCAATGAATTTTTTTAGTACCGTGGAAGTATTGAAACTCAATATTATTTACCACTATTTAATTGATGTGTATTAAATAATTAGGACTTACTCTCCAAACATAAATAAATAATGTACATATATGTCCCCATGCGCACATCACGAGGAAATCACCCCTTTTTTTTTCGTGGAATAGGAAAAATCACTAAGGCTAAAATTCTACATAGAGCCCTTTAGATGTAACATTTCAGCCCCCTTCTTTGATCAAGTCAATCAATTTATCAAATGGTCTTCTTTTCCCGTGTTTACCACGGCAAAGACATACCCCATCAACTCCCACCCAACCACCCCAACCCCTGTCACCTTTCATCATCAATTTTTTTATATACGAAACTCCCTCTACCATCATTTCAAAGTAGTTTCTTTACATTTCTTAAACCTATCGAATTCCTAATTACTTCCTCTGAACCAATCTGAAATGGCACAGGTGAGATTTCCTTCTCTTTCTTTACTTATATATATATATTTTTATTATTATTAGTGTTCTTGTTTCACACACACTAGTTACTATCTATGTGACGTATCATGAAAATTTACATTTGATAATTCGATTTGCCCGTCGAGTGGCAATTTCATATTGATCTACGAGGCTCTCTGTTTTACTTATTGATCCCACAAACTTTCTTTAATGCATGTTAGATAAAACTGAATCGTTTAATCCTCTCAAAATTTTCATAAAAACAAGAAAAAAATAAATAGAATCTGGGTGTTGTGCTTCTTCTTCTCGGATCTTAAATTCTTCGCATTTCAACGACTTTTTTTTTTTTGTCTCTGCAGAAACTAGTCTTAAAAGTAGAAGTACGTCATGAAAAAGAGAGACAGAAGGCCATGAAAGCAGTTTCTAGACTTTCCGGTCAGTATTTAATACGAGAAAGAGTTAAAATTTTGTCTATTATGTTGTCCATTCAACGTGTTAGTCGAATGATCTCTGCTAATTTGTTCTCATATAGGGATTGAATCTCTGGCTATGGACATGAATGAGAAGAAATTAACAGTGGTTGGGGGTGTTGATCCAGTTCAAGTTGTGTGCAAATTGAGAAAATCATGGCACACAGAAATTCTAACAGTTGGTCCAGCAAAAGAACCTGAAAAGAAAAAAGAGGATGAAAAGAAGGATGATAAAAAGAAAGATGATGATAAAAAGAAGGATGAAAAAGAACAAACTGCAGAACTTCTCAAGCTTTACAAGAATTACTACCCTCATTACACACAGTACTACCATGTTTACAGTGCGGAGGAGAATCCAAATTCTTGTGTTATTTCTTGATTATATACTATGGGATTGCAGGGAAGAAGAAGAGTGGAGAGAGGAATTTCATTGTTGAATTTCGATGATTTTGCTGATTTTCAAGAACCCATAGTTACAAGATGTAGTTGTAGCATTACAGAGAAAGAATAAATCTTGGGTCTCTCAAAAAAAATTCTGTAATGTTTGGGAGAAAGTTACAAGTCTTTTATTATTCTAAATTAAATAATTATTCTTCGTAGTGGTAGCAACGAACTGCCTCACGAGCCTAAGCTAGAGGTTCAACTCGGCTCAGCAAGTATTTAGACTCGGGCTTTTGGCTCGTGAGTAGAGTCATGCTCGGGTCGTCTTCCCATGAATAGTGGACTTGGATTTCTTTGTTTAAATTAGAACAATTAAATTGGTATCTAATCTTGACTAAGATGTAGATAGCTCATTACAGTGTCATTTTCTAGTTTCCACCCCCAAAAAAGTGCTAGCATTCTGCCACTTTCAGAAACATGAAAAAAATATTTACTTCAAAACAAATTGTTGGGCTACTGTAGGGGTGTCAACGAGTCGAGTCGAGCTGAAACTTGAAGTTCGGGCTCGGATCGAGTAAAAATAGTTCGGACTTTTTTGTCCGGAATCGATCCGAGCTTTTGCTCAGCTAAA